ATATATATATTACTTTAGTATGTTGGCATCTATAGGTATATATACAGAGAGAAAGAGAAGTATCAATTATGGTGCATAGTTCGATAATAAACCCAACTCTTTGGTTGAATTTGCACCATGATTGTTTTGAAACAAGTCAATCAATTCTTTGAAGCTATGTAAATATTAAAAATAAAAAAAATTGTGTGTAGTTCATTAGGCTTGACAAATAATATTAAAATTTTAAGTTTAAAATTATGTGATACAAAATAATCAAACATTTCATTAGATTTGAACAATAATTTTATGTATATATTTTACTTGTCATGTCTATGGCATTCTATGATAACCTGTATGGATGTGTTTTAACCCTGTGAATATTACTCTAAAATTTCACCAAATAGCATTGCCCTTGTGTTTTTTAAACAGGTGAGTGTTATCAGCCTGCAGGACCCTTAATTCAACCCATCCGTGATGCACACTTGATCCACAGACCTGTTCCTCACCATCCACATCAGCCCCATCTGGATACTTTGCCAGAAGAATGCTACAGACAAAAACAGGCATTAGCTTCTTACATTTGTGAACCATCAACTCATATTAGTAAACCACTAGCTTTGGAACATGTGAAGCATCAGCCACTACAATATTATGGATCTTCCAGCATTTCGAGGTGTTTTGACCAGGATTTGATACATCGTGACCTCTTTGTCTCTCCACAAAAAAGCAATTTCTCTAATTGTCTACTTTCTAGATTCCCTCAAGGCTACTGTGTCCATAAACATTCCGGAGATAATTTTTCTTATACTAATGATTATAGTTCTCAAAAAAGGATGCCACTTTCTACTTCTTCTTACCAAGAAGACATAACACCTTTCTTCAGTAGGTCCTTCTGTCCAGTAAGGTTTGCAATGAATGATGTGCCAGACCATTGTTTATCATTCAATCTTGGACCATACAGTGTTCAGTCAGTTTCTTCTCCTAGACATTTATCATATTCCTGTAATGCTCCCATAATAATTTCATCTCCTCATACTCAATTTGGTCAACAATCAGTTTGTTCACCATTAAGTAAAAATAGAAGTAAAATTCATACATGTACCCATGGAGGTTACACAACTCCAGTTACATCTTACAGCTCTTCACAACATGCTGTATTTCCAAGATCCAACCACTATATTAATCATTCAGTAGATCATGTGACAGAAAATAGAGATCACATTGTTCAATCTTTTTCAAAAAATATGCATAATGATAAGTCATGTACTTCAGCAGATCAGACTGTTTTCAATATTTCATCTGATTTTCATGTGAAACAAGAACAACAGTGTTCAAGATTTTACCCAAACCATAATACTTTAGCAAAGATCAGCCACAATAAATAGTCGGTTATCATTGGTGAACCTTTGTTTTTCCCCACAACTTAAGCTTGAACAGAGGAAGTTACAAGGTTCTAATTTTATGTGCATTGCTTAACCAAGAAAATATGTTGCATATTTTTTATGTGTTAGAAAAACAAATATCAAAGACAAACAGGCAAAGCTCACCAAAGGAATCACTCTAAAGAATGCTTAAATGTTGGCTATGTTTCAGGTTTTCAGTCCTCTGAAAAGCATTTTAAAGATTATTAAACAATTACCAAGTTAATTAGCAACAACAGTGAAAAGAAGATTCACAAAAAAATCTGAAGTGACAGCTAAGCATCAGGAAATCAACATAGACATATCCTAAATGACAAGTCTTTCCTTGCAGATAATATAAAATGAAAGATATAGCTGCATGTGATTTGTCAGGTATCTCATTTGCAAAAGAATTACAACCTTCTCTGTGCTTGCAACTCATTAGCCTGAAAGGTTTTTTAAAGCAAGGAAAACAGAGGGTAATCCCATTGAAAAACTTGTCTTCTTTACTGTAGGTGTGAATAATGTTGAATTATATGATGCTGTGACATTTTTGTTTGAGCTACAACAAGTAGTATCTTTGGTGTAATTTATTCTAAAGTTCCATTCTCTTAGCTTTCTTATGGATGGTGATAACAAAATAGTTTGTGTTTTAATTTAATTCTTCACCTTGCCAGCTTTATTGTAGAAGCTGGTTATGATAATATAATTTCTGTTTTAATTTCTAATATATGGGACAAGCAGTGTAGTTTTTGTATAATATGACAAGCGTACGATTTTTCCCTTTAACATTGTTATTCTTTAATTCACAAGTTTTTCGTTGGCATTTCATCAGCATGCTTCAGACATTTGTTTTTCAATTAACCTACGGTAACTCATTTAAGAACAGTTATACTCTTGGAACAAATGGAATATCGCATCAATCATGAAACACCAATACTATGAATATTTTGGTAACAAGATTTAAAATTAATATTTTTATGAAAGCTGACTATATTGCCATCTGTTGAAGATTTAGAGATGAAGAAATAAAATACAAGTAAAGTCAATATTATTATTCACAATGAAGTTTGTTTGATGAGTGAAAATAATATTCCATGAAGTTCACATTATCTTTATTTAGGCATTTATCGTGTGTCTCAACCCAACTTAATTGATAACCTCTTTTGGTAGTCCCTGTCTTTAACAATAATTTGAATGTCCTCTGAAGTGATGTGATGATCAATGGAATGAGCATGCTCAGCCACAACAAATGTCTTGGGACTGAATGGTCTTGTAATATTATGATTTCTTGCTGTTCTAAACAATCAATGTGTAATGACCTTTTTATCTGCCCAATATACTCCAGAAAATAGAAATGTGGTATTTTGTTTATAGTATCATAAAGCTGAGTTTATTCCTTTTTATTTTTCAAACGAGACAGTGTATTGTGGAGTGTTTGAATGTTTTAAAGCCTGTTTTGTTATTTTATCAGCTTCTGGAATACAAGGTTTAGCAGTAAACAACGTGACAGTTTATGAATTACTATACATGCCAGGAATGAAGGTACTTGGTTGCTTCCAGCTTCTTTTGTATTTATGCTCTGATCAGTTTATGTAACTTTATATATTTTATTATTCTAGTTGGATAGCCATCAGTTTTGAAAATTTCTTAGTGATTTTACATCTGTTTCTGCAGATGTGGATATCACATGTGATTCATATCATTGTATTTTTATAATTAAGGTATCCAAAAATCTGCTTCCACTTCCATTATGAACTGTTTTGTGAATGTCTGTTATTTAAAATGACCATAAGTCTGCTTCAGATATTCAAGACTATAACTTCAGAGAAAAAATGTTATATACATTTTGCAAACAAAGGTCCTATTTATTTTTTATTTTTGAAAGAGAATAGTTTCCTAATGATAACATCTTGCCGAAGTTTGGGAAGTTCTTTACAACCTAAGCTGTTTGTGTCAAAAGAATTTTCATAACCTGATTTCATTCCAAACACACTTCAGATATATTTTCTGTCATTCTTTCACATTCATATACCTGAACAAGACAGTGCTACCAAATGAGAAGCTTTAAGGAATCAGTTTAGATTCAGAGATATGGAAATGGCCCTAATAAAAGTCTAAACAAAGATCATGGCAGAAATGAACTCAGTGATATATGTACTCCTCTCATAAAAAAAAACAAAAAAAACTGTGTTGTGAATAATAATTATTTATTTATTTTTGTTTTTCACCTCAATTTTCAATAGATGGTGGTATTGCTGACCTTCATAAAAATACTCTCTTAAATTAGTTGCTGGATGTCCACAGTGGTGTTGTACAATTTTCTGTTTGTTCTAAGAATTTCTAAGTTCTTCATTGATTAACTGTTGGATAAGAAAATTGCTAAAGAAACTCCTCCTTAGCTATACAGAAGAAGGGCCAAAGGGAAAGCTGAAACTACAATGAAGAGTATATGATTGTACATGAAAACTGGTTTTATCAGGCAAGTTTGAAATTGCAGCTAACTTCAAGAAAGGTCGTATGATTCTGGTTGTCATCAAAACTGATGATTGCTTTTTATTTGATAATATGCACTGGGCTGTCCCAGCTCCAGTTTTTGACTTGAGTTACCATTTATTATGACCTTTAGTGATACAAGAGTTGGTGCTGCTACTTGGCTGAATAGATTTATTTTATATTACAGTATACAATAATAATAATAATAAACAAGTGTTTTAGCTCAACCTATTCTTCAATTTCTATATATATAAAAAAAAGATATTAAAATTTTTGTGTGTATGCTTTTGTAGAATGATGAGTCATTATCTTAGAAAATATTTTTCCAGGAACATCATGCTAAGGGAGATGTCATTAATGTGAGAGACTCTGTTTCTTTTATCTGGACCTAGTGAGACAGATTTGTCATTTGTTACAAAAATTGAATCATTAAGTGAAGAACCTAACAATGGTAAGAATAAGGGGAAGAGACGGTTAAATTAAGTAGTTATTTGTTTTTAATACTTTTTTCTTACTTTAAGTTGCTTATGTAATAGGTTTTGCTCATAAGATGGACTTAACCTCAGCATTATTTTTTATTATAAAAATGTTTTAAGTGTATTAGAGTACCTCCCCACCAAATTTGTTTGTTACAAACTCAGTGTTTAACATTGTACACACAACACAGTTTTATTGTTTTTTCTGTTTTCTTGTGTTCAATATTTATTTGAGGTGTCCATTTCGATTTAATTACGTATCTGTTATTTTTGGTGGTTCTCATAAGATTAATATTTTATTTCATATGCAGTTTGGCACTGTATGTGTGTTATTTTTTTCATTTACACAGTTATTTTAGTATTTTTGTTTGGAGATTGGTTCTTTCTTTACATAACTGTGTAAGTTTTAAATACATCAGATTCTTTTTTTCTTTTCTTTACTTCATGGTTATTATAATACTATGTAGGAATTTTACACAAGCAAAAAAATAAAACTTCTGGACAGTCACATGTGAACTTGTACTTCACAAACAAAAAGTTTTGAATTCCCTTGATGTATAAATGGTCATCTCTTTTTACCTACACTATATCTAGTAAAGGTTTTTTTATTATCATTATAATTTGTTTAAAACTCGTCATCTTATCTGAAGAAGGGTCACTACATGATCTTCACATATTTAGTAAAAATCATAGAATGTGGTCATTTTGTCAGTGTTCTCTTGTTGACATGGGTCTTGGATGAGAGAAAGTATCTAACTGGATATATTTTGCTTACTTGCTTTACAGTTGCTCACTGATTAGCCATACAGATATGGATAGTAACCTCAAATAACTAAAGGAATGGCAGAAAATGTATTATAGAATTAAAATTGAAACTTTAACTTAACTAAGTTGAAGAGAAAAAGCTGAATACAGTGCAAAATGAAGTAATGTTAATCTTTATTCAAAATAAAACAAGTCAAATATATGAGTGCATGAAATTATTTTGGACAATGCTTCTACATGACAAAGAGATTTGTGAATTTTCTATATATTGTGTCCTAGACTGAGAGAACTAATCATTATATACTTAATGAGTAGTGTCAACTCTCCCTAACCACATGCATTACTCATGACACTTGTCATCGGATAGATACAAATATGGAGAAATTTGTGTCCAGACATTTCTAAATGTGACCACAACATTGATAGATGAGGCAGGTACAAGATGTAAACAAGGTCTCCAAAAACAACTTTTATAAGAAAGTCCAAAAATATCCAGTTGGGACATTTACCTTAACCATGTGTAATTAGCCCATGAAATAAGTTCAGTATTATCAGTTGTGGCTTGCAATTAATATGAAAAGGAGGCCAGCAATATTTTAACCCAATCCTATAAATATAGTAGAATTGGAAAAAAGGTACCTTAGGTGTCTTGATTTATTTATACAGGAGTTCAAGTCATCTGTCTTTTATTGCTATAAACACATTGATAACCACCAAACATCATCATACCAGACAATTTTTTTTTTTGCTATGATGGGAATTTAGTCTGAGTTCAGCCCTTTCGAGCCCTTCCCAACTGGGGTGTTCAGGAATATCAATTTCCTTTTGCCCTGCTCATGTGATTTGCTTTGAGACTATGGTAATAGAGAATGTTACAATATTACTAGTTAAATTTTTGGTGAAACTATTAAAATTTAATAATTTTAGGTGGGATGAAGTGAAGTTGGCAAAGTGAGAACAATTCACAATTTGGTGTGAAGGCTTTACTGTCAGACATCCAGGCTTGGCTGCCAAACAAACAAATGCCATCCTTTCAGGGTAGCAGGGAGCTATAACTCCTATGCCTTAAAGTTTGCTGTGAGGGGAAAATGGGGGTATCCCGCAAAAACCCACTTTCACGGGACAGGTGCCAAAAAATCTACCTGTCCTGTGCCCAGTCTGTAAAGCAAATCATGACTGTTAGTCATGAAAAGACAAAAACTTGTAATTAAACCACGAGTGTGGATGTATAGCTAAATGTAGTTTGTTTCTTTGCAATAAGGGTTGTATGGTGATATTAGTTTATGGGACACACTTGTGTTTGTGTGGAGAGCAGAAGTTAATTAATTTCTGTTTTCTGCTTTGCAATAATAGTTTCTGGACGTTGTGGTTAGTATATTGTTAATGATGGTACACTACTTACTTTGTTTGCAACTTATCGGGGTAAAACTGGGAAACCTTAGGGCTATTCTTAGTGCTCTATTTTGTTGTGCTTGTAACTTTTTAAGGATTTTGTCTCGCATGTTTTATGTTACTTGGCAGCCATATTCTATTAGTGGGTGAATGAAAGTTTTGGATGATTTTAATGTTGTGTTTGAGGTACATCCTGTATGTCTTATGTAATCAGTACATTCACTTATTGATCCATGAATGTATTTGATGTGTGTTACTCATGTGAAGCATCTGTCAAATGTAACACCAAGAAATTTGATATTGTCACACATTTTTACTTCTGTATTGCCTAATTTTAGCTACATTTTTTGTATTCTTAAAGTGTTTGCTTAAACTTTTGTAAAATACAATTCTTTGTGTTTCATCAGATGAAGCATAACATGCCATTTGTAACATCGAAGGGTGATTCTGTTTAAATATTTCTGAACCCAATCTGCTGCTATTAGCAGATTTCTTGATATACTTCAAACAGTGATGTCATCGGCTTACTGAGAGAAGTGGGTGTAAGTTAAGTCAGTAATGAGTAATATGTACTGGACTGAGCTATGCAGAACTTCCACTGTTACATTAAAACATCTTGATAGTGTATTGCTTATTGTTACTGATGCAGTGTGGTTAGTGAAGAAGTTTGAAATCCATCTTATAATTATGCTGTTAATGTTCATTAAGTGTAACTTGCATCTTATGGCATTGTGTCAAACAATGTCAAAAGCTTTTTTCACATCAAGGAAGGCTTCCATTTTGGCTTGATTATTATTAAAAGATTTATATACAGATTCTGTGAGATGAGTTAAATGATCTGTTGTTTGTCTCTTCTTATGGGATGAGTTTTGTTGGAAAGGAGGTTATTGCTTTTGCAGAAATACAGGAGCCTGTTTATTACCCTTATAACTATTTTACCTAGGCAACTGAATAAACTGAATGGTCTGAAATTATCCAGATTTGATCTACTGGATGGTTTCTTTGGGATTACTTTAATTATAGCTTTTTTTCGATGTGTCTGGAAAGTAACATGTTAACAGCAATAGGTTAATGAGGTTGTTCAGATGAGTGAGAAGCTTATAGGATTCTTTTTTGAGAATATTTCTTATCCCTTCATGTCTGGGAACTGAATGATTATATGTTAACTTTTAATTCACATAAAGTTACTTTTCTACTAAGTATATAATTTTGATCTGATAGAGTATTAGTGTTTGTGTTGATAGCTGGAAAGCAAGGGGTGTATAGTTCTGGGTTTGTGTTTACATGATTGTTCACAATTTGGTTTGATTTATTGAAATCAGGTGATTCTAAGTTACTAAAAACTGATTTGCAATATTCAGCTAATAAGTTTACTTTATCAGTTCTAGCAGTGGTGTTTTTATACCTATTGTAATGACTTAATTTTTTTCCAAAATTCTTTGGAATTATTGTTTGAAACATCCAGACTATTACAGCCAGTTTGTATCTTTCAAAATCTTGACATGACACTTAATTTGTGCTTGTATTTTGTTTATTTGAGTTTTAAGATTGGTATCATGAGTTTTAATGAATTGTCTTGAAAGACATCTGCATTCTATAATTAGCTCATAAATTTCTGGTGTAAGAGTCCAGTGATGGTTTTCGTGGCTTCTCGAGGCAGTGGGGATAATGGTTTTCGTGGCTTTGCTAATTTCCTCTGTTATTTGTTCCACGTACTTATCAAACTGCTGTTTATTTTCCATTGTGGTAATCATTGGGGGTGGGTGGGTATCAATTAATGCATTGAAAATCTACCAGTCCATTTTTGTGTAATTGTATACTGGTGGGAGGTTATGTGATGGGATTGTTCTGCATGTATGTATTGCTTGAGATTTCTCGGTTTACTGTGAAATTATTAGTTTTGGTTAGAATTGAGGTGGGAACTATAAGTCTAGCACATCATACAAGTTAGTTATTGAATGAAAGTGAGTTGAAATAGAATCATTAATGATCTGCATGTTGTTATTTTCAATTAGTGAATGTATTGTTTTTCCTCCTTTTGTTATTTGGTAATTGTTCAGGGCATTTAGGTCACTTGCTATAATGGGTTGGGAATTTCTATTCAGGCATTGTTGTACAAAGTTAACACTTATATCTTTGGATGGTGAACAATATACTGCTACTATAGAAATAGCTAATGAATCATTTAAATGGATATTACAGAAAATGCATTCATTAATTGAGGAAGTGAAGTTTTCCTCTATTAGGATAATGTTGGTAATATTATTTTTGAAAAGCATGATACTGCTTCTATTCATTTGAGTTTATGGAGCACAGTAGGATTTAAAACCTGGAATGCTTCTGAAATTATTGTTAGTATATCTGCTTTGACCTCACTCTTTAGATCACTGATTTCAATTTTTTTAATTTTAATAGCTCCACAACTATTAACATGAAGTATTTTTAGTGTGTCTGTTCCCTGAGGGATTCAATTCTCAATGAGATGTGGTGTGGCTTGAGTTTTGGAATGTCAAAGTATTGTGTGGCAGAGGAGCAGTCTTGTTGTATGAGTTCCTGTCATGTTGTGCATTGTGAGAATTCAGAGTTCAGTCAAGAACGAGAGTAAGTTTACCGTGTATTTCTTGTGATCATGCCCAGTGCTGGATGCGATGTTGTGTCTGTTTTTCATGCAGCAATGTTTGCATAGGTAGTTATTGTTTGTGAAGAGTGATGGATCATTAGTGTTGTTGATTTGTGTATTTGTAAGTATGTACTTGGAATATGGCTGAATATTGGAATGGATTGTTGGTCTACTGGTGTAGTATTGTGGTGTGGGGTTTATCACTGAAGGTGTTTTTAATAGTAGTGACAAGGGTGGATATTGTGCATTAAGTGGGAGTGTTTGTGTGTTAGTGTTTCTGTTGTTGAGCACGCTGTCTCTGACAAGTTGGAACTTGGGACATGCTCTGGCAATTAGAGCAGATTACGTGATCTCGAGAGTTAGGGCAGCCTTATATCCTGCACACCTAATGCATCTGGGAGAATCTGTGAAACAAGGCTTCAAATGGATGAATTTTTGATATTTGAAGCATTGTAGAATTCTTTTTGCAGGTGGTTTGGTTGGCTCAATGTGGTAGTGTTTGAAAGATAGTGTGCAGCCGTTTTTGATTATTGAACTACATTGAGTGTTTGAGTTGACAATTACTTTAACTAATGGTGTTTTGTGTGGTAAGATGTAATTCTTTCTATTTTTTATATGTATATCCTAATGCTACCAGTTTAAGTTTTTCAGTATCTTCTATGTCTAGTTCTACACCTTTAATGATTAAGGCTGGTATCTGTTGGTTGGTGTATGTACTGTTTTCATGCCATTGAATGCAGTCTTGGGCCAGTGGGCTGAAATGTATGCATAGTCCTTGGGGTTGTTGCACTTGATGATAAGGCCTCCCTTGAGCAAGCGCTGTATTTTCTTCAGTCTCATGTTTGTGAAAATCATTCAGAACTCACTGGTGATCTGAGGTTATTGAAGGGTATGTGGAATCCCTTCTTCAATAACTGCAGGGATAATGTATTGCTTAGTGGTGTTAACGGTTGCAGTGTTTTGTATTGGTGTTCTAGGAAAAGTGGATGGTGTGCTGTTTTGTGTGTTTTTGCCAGGGATTTCTGGTGTGGTTGGTCGTGATAGTGTCAGAATCAACAGAAATTGAACTTACCTGCAATGTTTTATTTCTTCTGTGCTTCTTTTTACCTATTGTGAATCTGTCCTGTTCTGTGATTTGTTAAAAGATGGTACTAGTGTACTATCCATTGAGTCCCAGTCCAAATTGCTAAGTTGTTAAGTATTGCATTCATTTTGGCCTTAGATAGAATGGCGTAAACTTCATCCTTCATGAGAGTCGGGTTTGCAAATTGGGTAGTCACACTGGTTATTGATGATTCATTGGTCTTAGTAGCCATCTTCATTTTCGGCCCTGAAAAGGACTGGAGTAGAATCCCTCTAGAAAAAACAAAAATAAAGAAATTAGAATTTCAAGATCTCGATTTGAGCATTTCCTACTTGTTCGATTTCCTATCTCTCTGCAGTATCTGCCTCACTTGATAAGGCCTAACTATAACTTGAAATGTAAAACTCTGAAATAACCTGCAAGTCAAGATTAATCATCATACTTTTTAAATAAGTCACTTCATTTAATGAAATTCACTGTTAATTGTTTGTATACTTAAAAACACTGAATGATCATGTAATCATTACATTTGTACCAACCCTTGATAACCATGACTTTGTGAGGCTTGCATGCTCCTGTTGTTGTAAACTTTTCTTGAAATGATTTTCAGTGGTTGTTTTTAAACCTACATTCTGATTGGGTCCACATGAGATGTCACCTTAATGAATGGCATAGATCAGGACAAGAAGATTTTTGAGTGTTTGCTACAAAGATATGAAAATTTTGATGCTTAGAACAAAATATAGATTTTAATGTAAAAAAAGATATAGAATATTTTATTTGTTGAGAACCTTTGAAGAGACATGGCCTTCTTTTCCTACTCTGCAGGTCACTACTGAGTGCTATACAGGATGGATTTCCTATATACATGCTCTGTAAATATGTATGAAAATATTAAGATAGACTAATGTTTCCCTTTCAAAGTTATTAAAGCAAGAAAACATACTTTCTCAAGTACCACACAGTACCATAATTGACTTCTGTTCCAACAGAAAATGAAAATGTGCAGATTGATTTTCAAAGTTAAGTATGATGCTGATTGCTATTCACACTTTTATTGTAAATCTGTTTTTCTGAAACAAGTTTTAGCACAGAATTAGTGTTTCAATGTAGTTTTGTATATTTCTATATTATATAATGTACAGTACTGAAATTTTATAATGACCTAAAAATTGAAAGATAAATGCTCAACAGAAAGTATGTGTTAATTTTATTTATTTTGTAAAGAAATGAATTGGCACTGAATAATATGTACTCCAACTGACAGTTTTATATTGAAAACTGATAATTTCTTAAATTAAAATGAGAAACTAGAAATCCCCCCCCCCCCAAAAAAGTCAGAGTATTTATGACATATGAATGTTAGTCAACAACTAATGTTTGTTACTGTTTTTATTGAGAAATTTGGTATCTTATATGGCACTTTAGGCTAAAAGATGATGAATGTGTTATGGTAATATCATCATGAGCACACTGGAGTAGGTGGAAGATTGTTAGATATGAATGATTATATCTTTGCTTCAAAGTATATTGATACCAAGGCTGTACCTATGGTATACAAATTGATTATATCAGTGACTTAAAAAGAAATGTTACATTTTAAGTGGTGCATAATCACAACATAGTTTGAACACCCAGTTACTAAAACAGTCAAATATATATCTGAGGTGATGAATTATTAACTAAAATAGTACATATGAAAAGATTTTCTTGTACTTGTTTGGTCACTAGATTCAATGGTACTTTTCTCAACACGTGATTATTGTACTTTAATATAGGAAATATATGAGTTGCACATTTACTCTTTAAACATCAGCTTCCCTCCCTTTTTTTTCTGTTATATTAGATTTATTAGATATGTAATTACACCTTTATATAAGAGCTTGTCTATTACATGACGTTTTTAGTCATATTTTCATCTATAAAATTTGGTGACTTGTTGCTCAGGTTTTCAGCACTGATAACAAAGCATAAAAATGTCATCCTGCTCATTCTGTTGTGCCTAAACTCAGAGAAAGTTATTCCAGGGATAGTGTTATTCTGCCACCAAGTATGTGCTTTTTTTATCTGAAGCAATTACCAAAAAAAAACTTAAACTGCTGTTGCATTTGTTCATTTACATTGACTGAAGTACATCTGATTGCATTTAAGCCATTACTTTAAGGGTTTTTTTTTTTTTTTTTGTTTAGTTAAAGTTAGTTAGTAGTTAAGTAAACTACTATACTTAGTACGAGAGGATAGTAAAAATAAAATCTACTAGGTTTCGTTAGAGTACTTTAC